AACGTGAGGAGCAGAAATAAGCTACAGGGGGCTGAGGTCTCACACACGCAACCCTATGTACCACTGATGCGCAGGATTGTGTGCATGGGGTACTGCATTGTAGGAGGGAAGACTTCTGCGCACAAGAGATTAGGAGCTGGAATCTATTGGCACGACCATGCTGCAGTGTTGTTGCTGGAGAACATGGAGTTCTTGCCTTGCAGACGCTGAGTCATGGGAAAGATGGAGCAATCATTTCAGGGTGTTGACAGCTTAATACAAGGTTAGGCCTTCTATTTCCATGCCAACAGCACCAGTGACAAATACAAATGAGTTGTTTCAGGACTGCTGATGAACTTTCTCCACAGTGAGAAATGAGATCTCGTTGAGTCCTCCTCCGATAAGTGTGGAGCTGAGTCAAGACGAGCATGCTCTCTAGATTCCTCAGAGCAGAAGCGTTGCTGGCATTAGTAGATACTGGTGGGTGTGTGGGTAGGATGCCTCTCTTTAAGCGTATTTTTTTCTTGTTGTTCATTTTTCCCCATACAAGGGTGATTTTGAGGGATAAGCATGAAGGGCAGAGAACGACTTTTTTGTCATGCAGTGATTACACCACTTAGTGCAGTTCCTAGGTCTCCTTCACAATATGAGCTACCTAGTCATGGATAATATCCCTGCTATCCTCCGTAGGTGTTCTCCAAGGTGCCAGAGGCAGCTTCACGTCTGCATCCAGGAGCACTCACAAAATATCCCACTGGTCAAGGCCATCTCTTCTAGGATGGTCACTGCCCCATGAGAGTTTGTTCACTTGAGGCCATTTTGGTCCTGATGAGGGTAGGACTCAAAAAGAGTCACATTTCTGAAGAAACAACGTGTTAGTTTTGGATTCCTTTCCACAACTGAATGCATAATAACAAATGTTAAAGCCAAAGAAAAAAATGTATTGACTTATTAAGATTATATATATGTGTGTGTGTATGTGTGTGTTCATTTCGGAAAATAGTTGTTTTGAGAAATTTTTAATCTTAGAAAGTTTTCAAAATAGATTTGGAAAAGGTTGGATTATGCCATGTCAGTGCATTTTCAGGTAAAAACAGTCCAAATCCCTTTTTCTCATCAGAAAGAATTTTCATCTGAAAGGGTTAGTTAATGTGTATATATATAAAAAAAAAAAGCTGAGAAGCAAAACAAAATATTTCAAAATCACCCACACAAAATGTTTGAGTTAATTCTTACAAATATGTATTTTAATTCCAGTAGCACACATTTGTATTCAGCATATTTTTGGGTACTATTTTCTCCCCTCCATCAGAAAGGAATGTCACATTTCATTCTCAGTCTTTTGCCTGTACCTCTTGTTAATCTTAAATTCAGTTTGAGTAGTTCCAGAATTATTAATTATATATCCTTTACTGGCTATTATATATGCTGTACTGGTTACTAGCTCAGAAGATCCTGATGTAAATAGTAACAGAAATCACAGTGGGAGACTTAAGGGATCCGGCAGTTCACAGTGCTTTCTAAATACTTTAAGCAAGAGTAAACAGTTTTTGATCAAAATGTGGTGCCTTGAGCTCTGGCCCTAAATATATGCAGTTTTTATGTCAACAAAATCAATATTCTTTAGTTAAAAAGGTACAGGAGTAGAATATTAGCCTGATGAATTGATTCAGCATATCACCCTGCATTATAAACCTGCAATGCTGAACCCTTCACAGAATAAATGAAAATTCTGGGTCAAACCAAATGTCCACCCAACACAAGAATCTGTCTCCAGTGGTGCCATAAACAAATAGCTCCACGTGCTTCTGTATTGCTTTCATGATGTTGTTCCCAAATAACGTTGAGTACCTCAATTGCTAAAATTTCAGTGATGAATTCAGAAAACAAGTTCTAATAAAATATCTTCTTTGAAACTGTCCCTTGAAAGAAAACACGTTGCTGCCAAGTTCAAAAGGAAAAATAAATATAGTTTCACATCTTCAGTGTCAGATACAGCAGTACACAGAGATGGCAGAATCCTTTATGCTCAACAGAAATGATGTACCAGATCATTCTCTTCACTATTTTGTGCATAAAAAGCATAGTGTTAATAGGAGATACAGCTCAACATCCAGTGCTCTGACCTAGCCCCCTCTGGTTATTTATTATACAAGCAGAGTGAAAGGGAGTTCATCCATGACTCTTTGTTTCCTTATGTTTAAAAGATGCACTTTGCTGAACAACTGAGCTAGAGGTAGAGAATCCCCCAAACACTTTGTTCTGCTTCATTACTCAGTCTTAGAAGAAAAGTCTCTTTGCTGTCCTGGAATGAGGCACTCTGCAAATGGCATTGCACAAATGTGAGGTGGGAAGCAGGCTGTAGTGTAAGGATCCCAGGGCAAATCCGTGTGAATTTCTGATTCTCCCATACCTGGGACAATTCAAAAAGTATTACCACAGAATAATAGAAAAGAGAAAAATGGGGGGAAAAAAATGAAAGAAAAAAGGAAGGAAAAAGGGAGAAAAAGACTGTCATGTTAATCTGAAGTGAATTTCAATAATTGCATGGAATCAAGTACCAAAAAAAAAAAAAAAGTACGTGTGATTAAATGAAGTTACTTGACCAAATCAAACTATTTGGTTCTGAGTAGCAGGGTTAGATTATTCATTCTAATCAGAAGAAAGGATAACAAATCTTTGAAAAAAAATAAGACATCTAAGTACTGCCATAAATGAACTTTTTTTCTTTTTCCAGAGTGTATGGGAATTGCTGAGCCACGGCCTGAACCTCTGATTCATCACCTGAGGCGAGCCATGAGTCAGCCACAGGAGCACAGGTGAAGGCAATTCACCTGTGCTGCCGGAAGGGGTGGAGCCTGGTTCCACCTCTCCTAGACCTATTTAAGAGCTGGCTGCCAGTGGGGAAGGATCTCTTCTGGAGATCACCTCTCTTGGTGTTTTGTGGTGAGCCCAGCCGAAGGGTAAGCTCTTCCACTTATTCTCTTTTTGTTATCGTTGTCTACTTTGCCTAACTCTCTTGATTATATTGTGATCATAATATCTTGGTATCTATTGATTATACACAGAGTCATTTATATCTCTGCCACTACTTGCAAGGAATATCAGACCTTTGAGACACCTGAAACAAGCATCCTAAAGCAGAGATTTTCATGGCACTTGCTGGGTTTGCTACTGTCACCTGGGCTTGGAGACAATTTCAGAAGATTAGAGAGAGTTGACTTACAGCAGGGAGCAGCTGGTGTCAAGGTGTTGGGGAATAGAATCATTAGAGTTGGAAAAGACCCCCTGAGATCATCATGCCCAACAACCAATCCATCCCCACCATGTTCACTATTTCCCTCAGTGCCACATATCCATGGTTCTTGAATCCCTCCACTGGTAGTGGAGATGGTGACTCCAGATAGTGTCACCAGGTCACATAGAGAGGTGATTCCACTACCTCCCTGGGCAGCCTGTTCCCAATACCTCACTAGTCTTTCTGAGAAGAAATGTTTCCTAATATCCAACATGAATCTTCCCTTGCACAACTCGAGGCCATTCCCTCTCATCCTATTGCTGTTACCTGTGAGAAAAGGCTGAATCCCCACCTCACCACAACCTCCTTTCAGGCAGTTGTTGAGATCAATAAGGTCTCCCTAGAGCATCTTCTTCTCCAGACTGAACCATCCCATTTCCCTCAGCTGCTACTCATAAGTCTTGTGCTCCAGACCCTTCACAGCTTTGTTGTCCTTCTCTGGACATGCTCCAGGGTCTCCATATCTTACTTGCAGAGAGAGACCCAACACTGGAGTATAGAAAGAGAAGGGACAGAAAATTGGGTCTTGTTTTTTTCTCCTGACATAAGCTGCTGGGCTCTATATATTGTTTTTGGCCCTTCCTACTTGTCTTTAGGAAAGTGGGCCATCAGAAGTTTATAGGAACTGAATTTATGTCCATTCAGCCAATCTCTTTAACCCTATTACAACTCTTATCATGTGCAAAGGAATTCCTGGTGTAATCAATAGCAAGTTAAGTTGGGCATCTCTTTGCTGGAAAGATGCAACCAAAGGTAAAACTTGCAAGTTGTATTTATATTTGTGGTCTTTGTCTGTCTGCACATCTGTCCATCAGCCCTCACTGATAACTTTTCAATCTATTAGCAACTTGTGCTGTAAGATAAGTAGAGTTGCAGAGCTCCTGTAAGAGAGAGAAGAGAACAGAACACAGAATAGAATGGAATAGTTCAACTGGAAGCTACTTACAAAGATCAAGTCCAACTGCCTGACTACCTCAGGGCTAACCTAAAGTTTAAACACATTAGTGAGAAAATTATCCAAATGCCTCTTGAACACTGACAGCCATAGGCCATCAGCCACCTCTCTAGCAAGCCTATTCTAGTGTCTAACCACCCTCACAGTACAGAATTTTTTCCTAATGCCCAGTCTGTTAATGAGGTCCATTCAGTGTTGAGATAAGCAGAGATAAGCCCATTCCTCATACAGAACAGCTCTCTTCTACCAAAGAAGCCACCTGGACACACAAGATGGCTGGTGTTCCAGGCAGGGGGGGGACATTCAGCATTTCCAGCTGTGCCAATTGCACTTTCCTGATGTCACACCCCAAATTAATTTAGAGTCATTTTCCTCTTGGACTCCTAAACAAAGCTGCTTGCCTCTTTTCAAACATCAAGTCCTTAATGAGGAGGAACAGCCTCATTCATACCCTGGACATTAACTTATTACAGAACTGGCTGATAGAGAAAGCTCTAGCAGTCTAAACTGATTCTCCTCTTAAAGCAATATATTAAAACCAATGAGTACTCTGTGTAGACACTCTGAAGCTTTTGTAATTTAGTTAGATTTCTTTCTGGTTGATGTTAAAGTAAAAGAACTTCAGTGGCATCAGGATACCTTTCATGAACCTGGATATACTGCAGCTTCTGCTTTTCGTTGTAGAATCACAGCACTTCCTCTTCCTGCCTCACTTTCCCTGTTTTTGCATGACATACTTCAGGAAGAGATGACTTGTTATACCACACACAGCTGTGACCTTTCTTGCCTATATTTTAATATTTTGTTAATACTTGAAAACACAAAAGCAGCTTTCTCCAGTAGTATCCTTCTCAGATAATTTCCCCATATCCCACTCTACATAGTCTATCTTGGAGCAGCAGAGTTCTCTGTCCACATCAATCACATCTGTCTGCTAAAGCCAATTGCATCATATATATTGCCCCTCCAAGAGAGGAAGGGAAAGAGCATCAAGATTGGAAGAAAACTAAGAATTGATGAAAGAGAGAATGCAGCTGTGCGGTTTTATTCCCACCACTGTATTTGTTGTAGATTTCAGGGAAGTAAAAGAAATGCAGAAGTGGAGAAAGAGTCTTGTCACATGAAATATGTGGTCTTCATCGTTTGCTTTCTGGTGACTGTCTGAATGTGGCTAAAGTACCACATCATAACGATGAGTAAATGTGCTTCCTTTTTCCTGTTCTTGTCTCCTACCACAAGATGTGGATTGTGATATTCAAGGCAGAATCCCCCTCCCAGACAATTGCCTCATTTCTTATCTTTTCTCAGGGTGGGAGGTGGGGTACAAGGGCTAGGATTTTCTCTGGCAGCACTGAGCAGCACCTTCTACCCTTTCTTCTGCTGTGTGACCTTTTTTGACGAGGAGAGACCAGGATCACTGCAGCAGATGTACCCATTGTCATTCTTTTCATCCCATCAGCACTGAGGAAGCAGACTAGAGGCAGACAGAAGGGAGTGAAACACAGACAGGTTACACCAAACAAACCACAACTCATAGCAAATTGATCCCAAATAGAGCCCTCACCTTGTAGCTGGAGATTGGTGCAATCACTTCATGTGAGACTTTCAGGCACTTGGCTTAGCATGAAGCCATATGGCAACTATGGCATCCTCATGGTTCTGAGAGTGATGTCCGAGATCTAGAGTCACCATTTAGAACTGAATTTGTCACTACTAATTTACTGATAAACATAGCTGGTACCTGAGTATGCGTGCCTAATCTCTAGGCTCAAACCCATGGGAGCTGTCCTCCCTCAGATTTTCTTCTCTCTTTCATTACAGAATGGCAAAGGCTACTTGGGGGCTAGAGACAAAGTGGATGGGGGAAGATCATCTTCTTTGCCATAAGGGTTCAAATTTCTGTATCTGCTACGAAAACAAAATTGCCCTTATACCACTATTTCATCCTCTCAAGTGCAATCAAATGAACTGCTGTTGCTGGGGAGGTAGTCTAAAAACATCTCTCTGCGTTCTGCTCATTCAGGCCTTTTACGCCTGCTGTTCTCATTATTATTCTCTTGTTTTTCCAAGTGTTGAAATCTCACTCGGACATTTATAGTTTTATCTGCACTTGAATGTATAATCAGACGCCACAGGCAGCACCAGCCGGGGGCTGAATCATGTTCTAGCCTACGTCATATTTTTGAACTCCAGAAGAAAATAGTGATACCAAAATGATCTAATGGCTCAAGCCCAGATGTTACGAAAGTTGATACATATAAGAGGCAAACTTGTCCTAGTCTTCAGTTACACCTCCTTTTTCCCATTCACATGCAATTCTGAGCCTTCCTTAAGCTTCCAGGAATAAACATTGTTTCCAATACTTCCCCTTCTGTGAAAACAGCATCAGTCAATTAAGTGGTAGTAAAAATCCCTTTGCACAATTCTCTTGTTTTCAATCAGCCATCATTGATTCAAGAGCTTGATGGGCTTTTGCTCAGACTGGAAGTTCCTATGCTGTAAGAGGGCAAAGAAGATGATGCTCACCCAATGAGAAATGCCCCTTCAAGGGCTGAATTTGGTTAAACTGCACGAAGTTGAAGTGCAATACAAGAGACTCCTCCAGACACAAGGTGTTCATCGCGCTCTTTCTTGCTGCCTTTGCATAGACAGCTGCTCTGGCTTTCAGCACGTGTTTTGTTGCCTTGCTGTGCAGTCACGGTAAAGAGGAAGTTAGTAATTTACAGGAAAACAGCAAATGCACACAGTGATGCACTTACATCACACAGTACTATGCTATGGTCACTGAAGGCACAAATATGTTTACTAGAATGAGGAAGATTCATGATGGAGAGAAATCCTCAAAGAATGAGCTTTCATATTGGCTTTTGTTTTGTTACTCTGAGCACTTGGGACATCTGGCAGAGCTCTGAGCAAAGCAGCGGCAGCTGCTACTTATAGCAATTTATCCCTTCTCCAGATGTCAAGAAAGCGCTGCTGACATCCCTTTATCATCCTTTAGTCATCACTCTCCGACCACTCATGGTATCTCATCATAATCTCACATATAACGTTGTCCCTATAAGCTATTCCAACTGGATCTTGATGCTACCACATGTTGAGAGCAGGCTACAGTCATGATCTTACGTTTTCCATCTTCCAAGTGCTCGAGGTAGCATTTGTAAGAGAGTTGATACCTCTCTGAAGGAAAGCCATTAATCCCAAAGTATCTAGTCTCTACCTGGAGGATGGATTGGAATTTCCTGGAGATGATCCAGCAATTAGTTTTGAACACTGCTATCAAAAGGCTACATCAGCCTAGCGTGGATGCCTGCTGTATAATCAAAGAATATTAGGATGTTATAATCACAAAATAAACAAGAGAGTTAGACAAAGCAGACTATGATAACAAAAGAGAATAAATAGAAGGCTTACGTGTATCCTAGGCTCACTCACAAAACACCAGCAGAGGCAATCTCCAGAAGAGATCCTTCCCTACTGGTAGCCAGCTCTTAAATAGGTCTAGGAGGGGTGGAACCAGGCTCCACCCCTTCCAGCAGCACAGGAGAATTGCCTTTACCTGTGCTCCTGTGGCTGACTCATGGCTCGCCTCAGGTGATCAACCAGAGGTTCAGGCTGTGACTCAGCAGTTCCCATATACCTGCCTTTGAAGGGAAAAAAAAAATTCAGCATCAGCAGAAATCAAGTTCAGCACTGAGTCTGGGAGCTTTGCGTGTCTATTTAGGAGTGCCTGCATTTCAGGTGATACCCACTCCCCACAGTTTCCACAGCAAATTCCAGTCAGAGAATGGCCCTTTGAGACCTCTGCCAGCTTCCCAGCAGAAATGGCAGAAACCTCTAAAAGACTCCTTCAGTTTCTACTGAGTTCAAGTTTCTGTGTTACTACAATTATAAAGAAATTTGTAAATACCTGGCAGAGTTGAGAACCATCAGCATATCTGCTGGTGGAGCTGCCTTAAAGGACTTGAATAGTCCTCTTTGTTGAGAGAGAGCTCTTCTCAAGCATGAAAACTCTTCTGTCATGTTCCAGCCCATGTGCCTGATGCCTGCCAGACCCATGCATTTTTGCTACTGACTGGCAGTCATGGTCCAAAGACAAACACTGGCTTCATCCTTTTCCCATCTCTATCTTTAGGAAAGGTTCTGGAATCCTTTTCTTGCCCTCAGAGAAAATAAGTGGTGTAAGTCAGGAGATACTGTTGTAAGATTAGAAGTACAAGTTGGACAAGGAAAAAATTATGACCAGGGTCTTTCCTAGAAATAGAGGAGAGGAGAGGAGAGGAGAGGAGAGGAGAGGAGAGGAGAGGAGAGGAGAGGAGAGGAGAGGAGAGGAGAGGAGAGGAGAGGAGAGGAGAGGAGAGGAGAGGAGAGGAGAGGAGAGGCAGCTTCTGTATGAGTCACTCCTCATTCTGAGGCATATAGTTGCACAGCACTTGAAATAAGACTCTCAATCTGGCTAGGAACTAAGTGTACCCTGCACATCTCTGTTTCCTGCTGGATATTTCACCCCACAAAATGAAAATAAATCTTCCCATCACCTATCAAATATGTCAGGATTCCCTCTCCTACCACATAGGGCTTGTCCTGCTCTCCAGCCTCAGGGAGATGAAGCAGGACTAATAAATGTGATCAATGTGTTTCTTTTCTCCAGATACAATTTATGATGAGGTGTTTTGTGAGTATGATATATGATTCACTGTGGGATGCAACAGAGTGTTTTGGCCTTGCATCTGTAGAGGTACAGTGTCTGTTTTCCCTCAGACCATAAAGCATGTAGCCCAGAAAAATGATGAATATGTTCTGCAGAAGCTCAAGTGGGAACTCCAGGGAAGTTCCTTGAAAGTGTTTCTAAATAGGATATTCATTTTGCTAGTGAAACAAAGAAAACACTTCCAAGTCTCTGCGCCTTCTCCAAGCACCTGTTTCCCACCCCTGCCCTTTTCCCAACTTACTTCCAAAGCCTACAGAAGGCAGGATTGATTGAGGGTCAGTGCTGACTCTAGCCCCTGTTTTCAGCTTTGGAGCACCTGGCAGCCTATGTCCATAGCTGGCAGGTCAGCAGTCATATCTGGACATCCACAAACCAAAAGCCAGGGTTAGTCCAGCGATATAAACCTTTTGCAAGAAAAGTATGTTATCTTCTGGCTGTGCAGTGAGGGAGCCTGGTGTTGATGTGATGAATTTTTCCCCACTCGTAACTCATCCTGTCTCTTGCACTCATCCCAAGCTCTGTTTATCAAACCTGTTGGTCCCGCTGCTGACCAAAGACTGCATTAAATTGGTTCATCAATCATCTGGCTGTCAGACACAGTCTTGCCAAGGAAGGGAGGAAATGCCATAAAACTCCACAGATGATATAATTCTGATTAGGAAAAGTGCTTACTTCTGCACCTACTTTTAAGCCCATTAGAATAGCTGTTTTGCAGAACTTACAACTTAAAGCATTTAGCTTGAATATGATTTAGTGAATCAAAGCCTTTGCTAATGGGGCATTTGGATATTCATTACTGCACCAGTTTTTGACTTGTAAACAGGATTATAAACAGGAGAGAAATTAACTTTTTATGCATGTGGATACATGGTGATAGACAGTAATAGAGGGGGAATGGTTTTAGACTAGATGGGAGACTTAGATTACATGTCAGAAGGAAGTTTCACAGAGAGAGGGAGATGAGGCACTGGCTCACGCTGTCCAGAGAAGCAGTGGATGCCCCATCCCTGGAGATGTCGAGGGCCAGCTTGGATGGGTTTCTGTGCAGCATGAGCAGTTGGGTGGCAGCCCTGCCCATGGTATGGGGGTTGAAACTAGATGAACTTTGAAGTTTCTTCTAACCCAAGCCATTCTATAATTCTATTATATTCCCTCCACAGTCAAGCATGATGAGCCAGATAATGCCAGCTAAGTATTCAGCTGGGTAATACTAATAGCCGGGGCCGCGCTTTTCAGGAGAAAGAAAAAATGAAAGCAAATATTTTATCATCTGCTTCAGTGAGATGAAAGCTGGCTCTGCCAAAAGGAGCTCCCAGAAATCCATTTCCAGACTGGGTAATAATGGCTGGAAGAAAATTGTCTCTGTACCATTGGCATGTAAGCCAATTCTGTATGGCGTTTTCTAGAGCATGGTCATCCTGGGCATGAATACTCCCAAATGTAGTGTCATTTTTTTACTTCAGGCATCAAATGGGCTAGGCCATAAACTATTGGATGGCTATTACTACTAAGGGACTTTCTCAAAGTACACAGAGATACCAAAGGTCCTTTGGTATCTAAGGCAGTTGGTTTTTTTGTTTGTTTGTTTGTTTGTTTTGAATTCAAGAAAATTGCTTATTAGTTGCCAGATGCTAGCCTTATAAAATTGGCCACAATTGCATTTTGTGTAGTAAGTGTTTTCCAGAAATGAAGAAAAGCCATAATTTGCATATAGTGACACTGGGGAGTAAGGGGATTATTTTAGTAATTAGGATAACAACAAAGAATATTCTTAGTCATAAGGATCCCTCAGACTGGTCTTACACTAATGGAGGGTGGTTTAGATGTTTCCATCCCAGTGGAAATCTTTATGAATGGATTAAAGGAGGAATGTATAATTATCCTTCCCATGTGCTCTTACTAATGCTCTCTACACCCAGAATTGCATATAGAAGGGCTTTGATTTTACTAAATCACAAGATATGCATTAGATTGAAAGAAAAAAATCGTTTGCAATAGGTAATTTATTGGAAATTGAAATTTCTGTGGGAGTGTGGTCCAGTTCCCCAAGTAAAATCAAACTATTTCACAGTGTCAGAAGCTGTAAAATTCACACTCTATGGCAACACATAATTAATGCAAGACATCTGGTTTTGGCCGGACTGAAAATTTTAGCAACGAGGTGAATTTTTCAGCATAGGTGCTATCCTTTCACAAAGGTCAGGACTGTCCTCAAAGAGCTTATCAATAAAAAAATCCAGTTTTTTCTGAGCTGATTTTTCTCTACGTTGAAGATTCTATCAGAAAAAAAGGCTATTCGTGCCCAATAAATCAGCTTTCTGAATCCCTTTGGGTTGCTTTACATGTCATTTTTTGGTAGATCCAACTTGCCTTATTGAATCCATTCAAGACATAGTGTCAGTTTTTCAGATTACTTGACAGTGTGGTTAATGGTTTCTTTTGCCTTTGAGTTTTGGTCTATTTTTAAGTGGAAAAAAAAAAAAAAAAAAAAAAAAAAAAAAAAAAAAAAAAAAAAAAAGCTGTCTGAAAGCTGTACAAAGTCTCTTTTAAAAGGGGTCTGTCCAAAACATTATAGAATTTTCCGTAATATAATGTGACACTTGAGAAATGTCAAATTGAAACATTCCAACATTCTCTAACTTTTCTTCCATTTTGAGGATGCTGGAACTGTTTCCTTCTGTTTATCCAAAGGCACAAATAACTTCAGAGTTCTGAATTTGCTTTTGTGCCTGACAAATCCAACCTAACTCCAGTGAACAGGAGTCTCTCTGTTCAAGGCTTTTATTAACACTCTGGTGAATAGCTACTGCTTGGAAAAAGTCTTTGAGGAGAGCTGAATGACCAACTCTTTGTAAAGTTTTCTATGTTTCCATTATCAGGACTCTCAAGCAACCTTAGTAAATGTGTCCATGATCCTCAAAGTACCAGTGCTTTTTTTCTAGAAAGGATTCTGCTTAGGAGTCTCTGAAGGTTACAGGCAAGATACTGTTGAAATCATTGGTCATCCTGGTGAGGGGCTTGCCTTTGCAAAGTGGATAGGATGCCTTCCCCATCTGAATTGAAAGACAAGATGCTAAGTGTAAACCTGAAAGTTGTTTATATGCTGTTGTTTGGAAATGGTCGTTTTCCTCCTGCTTACAGCCTGGTCCCACTTTCTTTCAGTATGTATTGTTTGACATTGTTTCTTCCTGGAACATTTATAAGGCATTATGCTTAAAAAATTAGGTTGATGAATGAAAAGAGGCAGTTCTGATAAAGTCATTGACAGAAAGGCCAGAAGCCTTGTTGTAATCTTGGAACCTTGTCATTTGGCTGCCATAAATCGCTCTGAGTAGCAAGATAGTAAAAAATATAAAGATAAAAATAAAGCAAAAAACTGCCCAGAAACTTAGATGACAATGAAGCAGAAAGTGTCCCAGCAAAATGATCATTTTTGGAGAAACACAATTAAACCATTAAGAATTCCTCACTCGTAACAAGGGAACAAAGACTGTCTCAGACCTTAAGTTCGTATGCCTTTAAAAGACCTTTCTTGTAGGTAACAGATCTGCTACTGCCTCTGGGCAACCCTGTCAATATCACACCACTGCCCATAAGAAGACATCTTCCTTTCATGCTGTAAGATTGAGAACCACTGAGAAAGCGCCAGGCAGTCTTGTCAATGAGTAGATCAGTTCTGCCCAAAACTGATTTTCAATTGCTTGCTTTCAGCAAGAATTTTGCTTTTGTTTTGGGTCTTATTCTTGAGAATGCTTGGAAATAGGATGTTAGAAGAACCAAGATTTGAATACACCTGAAACTCTAGATGTAGCTTTCTGCAGGGGCCGTTCAGTTGAAGTCAGTGTGACCGTGGGATCACTACAGTTCCAAATCAGCTCAGTTCTGCATTCTAAGTTCATTATTTCAGCTGTATTAACAAGCTGCAACTTTGTGGGGTTTATTGTGCTCAAGCCTAAATGCCTGGCATGTAACTTTGGGATCTGCAGCTGAACAGGTTGATTTCAAGACAGCTGCTTGAGTACTCAAAGCCACGTAGAAGATATGATGCCATTACCAGAGGTTTGGATCAGTCTTACAAGCAGATCCTTGGCTCACAGCCCATCTGCCCACTTTTCCAGGAAAGGCTGAGCCATCTCAGGAATCAATGTGACACACAGTATTAAATCCTACAATATGTTTAAGCTTAAAGGCACTTAAAAATAGTACTTGAAATGCCTTTGGTACTGTCATCATCTTAATTGCACAAACAATCTAATTCAATTTAAAAAGTAACAGATTTCCAATCAGTTTGCTGACATATTCCAGAATATGTTTCAGCCAAGAAGAGTTTCTTACCTTCATTTCCAGATGAAACAAATAAATGTCCTGCATTGTTGCTGTTCTTTATCTTGCAGACAAACAAAGCTGTAGCCAAGGGAGACTTCCACCACGCAAGCTCCAGCTCCCGGCGAGCACTCTTCCTTGCTGTGCTGTCCATCACAATTGGAACTGGCATCTATGTTGGGGTGGCTGTGGCTCTTATTGCCTATCTATCCAAAAACAATCACTTATGAGCCTCAGGAAAGAGGGACAACCAGCCGCCCAGCACCTGCACTGCAGAACTCCACCGCAGATCAGACTGCATGGTTTTCCAAAAAGATCCAGAGACATAGAAACACCTTCTGGGGGGCAGGTACAGGCTAAGATGGGCTTGTGCATTGCAGTAGGGTGGGAAGCTGGCTGAGATTGAGATAGTTGCTGTATTTGTGATGCACAAGTCCCGCTTCTCTACATGAAACCTTGTGAAAGGAATAAAGGAAGAAAAAAGAAAAGAAAAGAAAAGAAAAGAAAAGAAAAGAAAAGAAAAGAAAAGAAAAGAAAAGAAAAGAAAAGAAAAGAAAAGAAAAGAAAAGAAAAGAAAAGAAAAGAAAAGAAAAGAAAAGAAAAGAAAAGAAAAGAAAAGAAAAGAAAAGGAAAGAAAAGAAAAGAAAAGAAAAGAAAAGAAAAGAAAAGAAAAGAAGCGGAACTAGGGGAAGTGTGGAGAAGGGTATTTTGCCTTTGCCTTCTTAGCAATATGGTGTTTACAAGAAGCTGGCAAACTGAGCTGTTCTCTTAATACCTTCTTGGTGACATGAACTTTGCAGCCAGCATGAGCTTGTGCTTTGCTTGCTTGTTGAGCACGGCACTGAGATCTGAGAAAGCATGGACAGTGGCTGGTTCTCTGAAAGAGCAATATAGCAACAGGAGGAAGAATACTTTTGTTGTTTTTTTTTTTTTTTGAATGCAGGACTCATTTGCCTAAGAGTGAAGCAGAGACCTAGCAGAGAACAGTGTTGCCTACTCTTCTTGTGTTGGTAGGTGTCTATGGAAGGAAAAAAGGATAAAAAGGAAATAAAAAAATATTTTTTCTTTCCTTTCTTTGTTTCTGGATTAAGACGTGACCCACAGACCCACCCAATACAGAAAAGCTGAGGTTACAGCATGACTTGACTCCGCAGACTGAGCGTGAGGTCAAAGTAGCATGGAATCCATTGTATAATGAATTCCTCCATCCAGTCACACCGTGATAACAGAACATGCCCATGGCATATTGCTTATCAGGATTGCTCCACCCTGTTGTGGTGACATGCATAGCAGCAAATGCAAGAAATGTGGGGGGAAAAATGCAAACTGGAATACTAACCAATTTTAAATTACAAAACATGGAAAAGCATGGGAATTAACCAGAGGAAGGAATGCTTCATATATTTCTGAGGTATTGCTCATACACAGAGCATAGAAGTGGATCACTTTGATTACAAGCTCATGGCTCATCCATGGACCAAGGACACAGAATAACCATGGATGTCTTGATAAGGAAAGTAATGGTATGTTGCAAGGAAACTGAGCATTGTCCTTACACTGACTAAAACAATGCATCTCTTTTCTTCTTTACTCCTTCCCCACAGTCACCCTTTTATTTTGTTGTCTTACAGATGTATATCATCCCACAAAAGATTTATGTGTATAGATATATATGTATCTGTGTATGTATACATGTGTATCTATACAAATTGATAAATTGATTGAGACAATAAGCATTTTATTGCTCACTGCCTTATGTTTGTACCAACACAATTGATTTGTCCAAAAACCTTTGTGTCCATCTGTATTTAGTGTCTGTTTTGCTCCAGGACAATTATTTTCCTTCTGTTTGGGGGTTGGCATTGTTTTGGGTTGGACTTGACTTTTTTTTTTAGGAGGGAGGAGAACAAACACATCCAAAACTATTTTTCTGCTGGTTATAAAGTTTATTAAAACACATGGTATACAGCTTCTGACGCTCCGTGTGACACTTTCTTTGGATGGATGTGATGTGTTAGACTGAGTGAAACTTGCCACAGTGCAGAGTTCACCTGTCTGAAAAAATATCAGTATGGACTACCCCATATTGTTTCTGCATGTAAAATCCCATTGAAGTCATTGGCAGTTCTTCTTTTGCTTTGATTTGTTGGGCTTCAAACCAAGCTTGGAGACCAGCAAGGTACTTGTATTCATCTTCAACAGTTCCCAACCACTGCTGAAGCCCAGTATCTATGACTTTTTTGGCCTGGTTGCACTACTAAAGAAAAGTAACTCTGTGGTTCTTCACCTTCAACTGCTATTTTCTAGCAACTGCCACGGACACCCCTTTGAAGGAAGGCACCAGTGAGTGGGCAAGTCAGAATCTCCTACAATGGGCAGTTTCTGGGTTTGAGTAAGTGGTAGAAAAGGGCACAATCTGCAGCCTCTCCATTCCAGCTATAGTGCATACAGTAGGCTGCAAAGCCTGTTGTGGCTTTAAAACCCTAATGGGCGCATGTGTTGCAGATTTCCACTCACCCACCTGGAGGTGGCTATGACCACTTTCATTCACATTTGTCACATTTTGAGCTGTTTTGCCATTCAGAAAGAATGGGAAGTTTATTTCTTGGTTGTTTTTGAGGGCACAGTGAAGCATTTCTGGATCTGTATGATTACAAGGTCATATATACTAGGCCTGAGCTTATGTCAAACACATCTCAGTACAGATCTTACCATGCCTCAGTTCATAATGGATTAACGACTCAGGCTGAGGCTAGGAAAGCCTTTATCTAAGGGGCAAAGACAAGAACTGGATATATTGGTTATTTATGTAGCTTAAATGAAGAGATTTCCATTTGAGCCTTTCCCATTTGTACATATGTGATGTGTCCTGGCCCAGCTCCCAAGCTGGCAAATGCATAAAGCTCTGCCGCCCTGATAGGCTCAGCTAGAAGGAGTTGAGAGGTGTGTGATTCAGGCTCTCGTAAGATATCTGAGAGCAAGAATTGCTGCAAGAACCAAAGGTAGAAGTGGTGCCTTGGACTGTCTATGACCTTGTTTCCTCTTGTTGAAAACTTGAGGCTGGCAAATCCAGGCTTTTCAAACACCTCTGGGGGGATTTCTAGCTACTTTTAGTAGCAAAAGGGAGGAGGGCCTGCACACAAATGGAATCAGAAATCCCTGTTGCTTAACCTAGGAGGACTGCTCTGGAATGAGGCAGTCACACGAGATGCATAGTGCATTGCAGGCAACAGCCTGCACAACACACACTGCAACTGACACCATAGGAGTACCACCTACAAACCACCCTGGGCCATGGGCTGCCAAGCTCTCTGCTCATTAAGATAAATACAAAACAATAAGTTGTAGTGTCACCTTTCTATCCATAAGCCCTATGTCAAAGTAGGTACCACCTGCCTACTCCTGGCCAGAACAAACCTGGCATAAACTTCCCGTTGTGTGCTCAGGCTGATTTGGCACAAACACCAGTGTGTGCATCTGCCTTACCCAGATGACAATGGTATTTCCGAGTGTACTCAAAAACATAACCAGATAGAGGAATATCTTCATAAATCGCTATAGCAGTGACTCCTGCTGTTTGGAGCCAGACCATTTAAAACTGGCTATGAAATTTTGTCAGCAGCTGCTGAACTGAAAAAGCCCTCTGCACAAGATTGTTATTCACTGTTGGCTGCTGGTTGCTGATTATTATTACCTGTTTCTACCCCCTCCATTGGGAAGGGAAAGGTTGTGCAACCCAGGAGGAAAGGCAGGGATCATACACCTGCTGTGAGTGATGAACTGGGAGAAGACAGGAAAAAATACTGCCAGGTAAAGAGCCCTTGAATATTTGTTTTCTATGGAGAAACATCAAGAAAATGATTCAGGGTTCTCTCCTTTTCCAAAGCAGATTTTTGAAGTTAGCTTACCTGTCATTCTGTTCAGCTTGAGCTTACCCCTTAAACTTACCTGTTATTCAGAAGCCATTGCTCCTTTCATGCTCTCTCCAGGCTTCAAGAATACAGTTTCTAATAAACTTCACATTTGGATTACCAAGAGCTCTCTTCCTTCCTGCACTTGGACACACAGAGCTCCTGCCTAGTTTACGAAAGAGCTTTGCCATCCCAGAGAGGCAGGAGAGAAGCCAGTCCCCCAAACACTACAGCTGCCTCATTGCTTTCCTCCCTTTTTGAAGTGAGACCTTCATCCCATATATGTTCAATCAGGAGGTGTCAAAGAAGTGGCACTGATATCCTTACCAGATGACAGGCTAGAGTGATAGCTAAGATTTACTACAAGGGAAAATATCAACCTGCAAAATGCAGGGTCTGAAGGCTCCAACTTAATCTTGTAATGTAGGATGTCACTCTGGATTAGTCTCAAAAGGTGCACGAAGAGTGCAGGAGGCTCACTGAGAGGGGAGAAAAAAAAGCTTCCTTTTGAGAGCCTCAGAGCTCACGGGAGTATAGAGACTCTCCACTAATAACATGCTGGGTCAGAGACTAATTCCACATTACATCTGCCATCCAATGGGATTTCATAACCCCCTGATACCTTCAGTGATTCTTGGTACCTTCGCTCCAGAATCTTGCTAGAGCTGAGTGTTTTTTATTGCTGTCTGAGCAACTGCTGTCAGTCTGAGATCTATTTCTCCCATCTTCCACACAACACCCAACATAAGGCAAGCATCAAGAGCTCCCTGGTGAGGCAGGATGGGGGCACACAAACTACTTGTGTGCACTACCTTACACTGGGACTGGCATAGACAAGGGGCAGGCACCAGCGTGTTGCCCATGGCAGTGACAGCCACCTCTGGGCATGCTGCCATGCTCCATCCACAGCTTGGGGAATGCCACCTGGTGAGTTGCAAAGGAAATTCACAGGCAGCTAACAATGAGTGGGGCCCCTGAGGAGAGAGGATGACAAGACAGACAATTTGCTTGATTAAGCCAGCCCAGCCGTTCCTAGCATCCTGTGTTAGCTCTTCCTGCAGGAGCTGAGCACAAAGGATGCTCTTTGCTGGCTGCCTGACTTTGCTCACAGATGTCACATTACCAGGATGGTACTGCAGGAAGTTCGATCACTGCAGCCCATGGTCCCACTTCTCTGGTGTGGCACAGAGCATTGCATTTTGCTTGAGACATCATGAGCAGCACTCAGTGACACAGACATCGAATCCACAGCTGCACCAAGGGAGGGAGAGTAGGAGCTGTTTGCGCTGTTGTAGTTTATGTCATGTGGCAAGGCCAACACGTTTCATATTTATCAGCTCTGAACCAGCACTGTTGCTCCTACTGCCTGCAATGGTAAGAAGGTAGGACTACTCCTCCCAGAGTACTTTGACAGGATTCTCCAGTCATGCCATGGCAGAGCTGTCTGTGAAAGGCAGCAGAAGGGTGGGAAAAGGCTTTATGAGTTGGCTGGTAGGAGACAGGCTGGAGTTTTCCATATCTGCTCTACAATCACACATGGCCACAGTGCTGGAAAGCAGACATCTCTCTATGGTGACCTATTTTGCTGGGATCAAAGCCCTCCATCTCTAGACCTTTGTGATAAGTAACAGACTGTGCTTGTGCAAAGGTAAGTAACCCAAAGTGATGCCCCAGGTGGGTTAAATCAGCATTCTTCACACCATCAGGTATATGCCTGTCTCTCAGAGACAGCTTGTTCATCTAGAAAGCTCAGTAGTGCTCCCCCTGCTTTAGACTCGTACCAGTTTTGAGTCAATCCTGTACAGGCATACATTCATATATTTATATATACATGTATATGTATATATGTTTATGCATACTTATTTGTGTGTGCATATATATATATATATATATATATATATATATACACACTTATGAGACAGCAAATGGAGAAATCAATTGGCTTGTTCTCCATTAAGGAGAGTGCTGCAATACATTTCACTGAAGAAAAATATATCAAAAAACAGAACACAACAATAAAACAAGGACTTATCAATAATCATCTACAAAATAGAGAACAGATCAAGCAGATCATGAGAGCTGGGCTTTGCTACTTACTTGCTTTGTGCTTCTGAGCCAGCTCTGCTGTCTGTTTCTCTCTGCCACTTAGATCAACAGCTTTTATTGTTACTAAAGTGCTTTGGTCATGAGCAACTTCCAGCCCTGACAGAATAGCAGCCTAATCAAGGAAATGAGCCACCTTGGAGGCCAGAAAGAGCACAGGTACACCAGCCATGCTGCCGTAAGAGAAGCAGCATGCATGCAAAAATACCTTTGGATGGTCACAGGAAGCAGCTGGGGCCCCAGGAGGTTCTTGCAAAGGTCTCTAAAGGATGGGTGTGAGTCTGTCACTGCAACTGCACCTCATCCCTTTATTTTCTCACTTTGCTGATTGGTTCATTTGATCATTTCTGAACTCATACCAGAAACTTGTGAGCAGATACTGACTTGAATCACGGGAAAAAGAATACAAAGCAACCTTGTTTTTCCTGCTCCCTTGAGATAAAACCTGTCAGCACACTCTTGGCGCAAAGCAGCAATTAGATCAATTAGATCTGGTCACATTTTCTCATCATTTTTATGTTTGCAAAGAAATTCTTCCAGGATAAAATGCCATTCAATCAAAAGGAAAAGTTTGTCTGCAGGGAGATGTCGTTCTCAAGGACATTTTATAATTGAGAAAATAAAAAGCCAAGCCCTTTGCAATGGTGGAATACTTCACGCTGACCTTTTTGAAATGCAACACAGCCTATTCTATTTGGAAATTATTTGTCTCAAAACCTCTTGATACTGACCAAAGTGCCATCCAGCTGGCAAGAGCGCATGGTGAGTTTTCATTCCATTGAATTCTTGTGTGATAGATCCAAATTGAAATTGTTAAAAGCCTTTTGTTTGTTTACTTTTTTTTCTTTTTTAAAGAACAGCCAAAATGCACTGTTTCGCTCTGTTTCAAGTCTGAAACAGACATTCAGATTGGGATATTATCTATCACATTGGGAAGTCCCATTCCCAAATCATTTGTTCCTCACTGATACAAAATTCTCCCTGGCCTTAGGAATAACACCATCCTAAACCCTCTTCGCTGAGAAATCCATCCTTGGAAGCACACAACCCTCT